TAAATATAAAGTCCAAACGGGTGGCTTAAAGACTTTGAAAATCTACATAGCTCGATAAAAAGATTCTAGAATTCCAATATGATACTATCATACTATTTAAAAAGCACATTACAGGATCTATTATTTTAGTTTAATATCGTCTGGAAAATAGTTACAGTTATAATAGTCTCTAAAGAGATTAAGTATATAAATAAAGCTCCTCCTCATAGCGCAGTTTGTAAAGCATGTTAAACTGTTCCCATAAAAAATAATAATAATCTGTATGCTTTTGCTAGAAAACTAAGCAAATATTCGTAGTTAATGACCATGGCTAAATTCTGATAGAATATAACCATAAAACAATATTTATATAGACCCAAGCATTAACATTCAACCTGCTTTCCATTTGCCTGATAAGCATTAACAAAATGTTGACTGGTTTGGCTCATTGGTTCGTTTTGGCATTGCTGAAATATGTTTGACATGATTGATGATACAATTGATTGAAATGTGATAAATTGTTGTCTGCTGCGGGAGACAGCCACAGCAGCAGCAACAGCAGCAACAACAAAAGCAGAAAATACCAAAAAAGTAGGGCGTAAAATGCATGGCAAGCGCTAAAGTAGAATCTCTTTCCATTCTCGCATATGAATAACTGCCAAAAGGAGAACTCTTTACAGCTGTCGCAAGGATTCATATACTGAGTGTATGTGTGTGTGTGTGAGGAATACGAGTACATCGATCTATATTAGTGTCTGTTAATACTTTGTATTTAGTGCGATTGACATTCTTAACGAAGACTCAAATTTGAGCCACGGTTGTAAAGGCAAAGATCTCTTTCACTCCTTCATAAATTTTTACATATTTCTGAAAAAGGAGTATTGGGCAGTCGGTAGGACTCGACAGAACCGTTCTGGCTTGTTTTAGTACGTGATTGACGCAACTGCCCGAAAGAAAATTTTATTTTTTTTTTTCTGCTCACTAAGCTGATTTTCCCAGGAGCCGCATTCAGTCGCTGGCAAAGGAACTCAGCTTATTTTTACATGTGGCCGAGAGCTGAAAGTTTTCCTAAATGTGGCAGCAGCGCGTGCTCAACTCGTAAGTAGCAGTATATTTGGCTTACATTCGTTTTTTCTTTTAGCCAGCTTCCTTTGTATGCTAATGCACAAAGTGGGTAGCGAGGCATTTAATCAACTTTATGTGGAATGAATGAAACTGTGCACAAAATAAAAAAAATACGAAACAAAAAGTGCCACCAGTATGGCACCGAAATGCCATTAGATTTATTAAAAATCCGTCTGAGGGATTCGACTTAATGTTGACAATAGCCTCCATCGGGGCTAAAGGTGATGCACTAAACAAAATTATATACAATGTGGCTTTCACATTTTGTGCTTGATGTGCGTACAACAATATAGAAAAGAAATACTCAAAAAGGTGACTCTTGACTCGAGTCTTTAAAGGCACAGGCAAGCTATAAGTAGATCCCATCCATATTGATTATTTTATTTATACATATATAGTACTTCTCACCTGCCTATTGCTATATAAATAACTATTAACAAAGCAGCTCAACAGTTTATGATCAACTTTTTGCTCCGCCAAACAACTTAAGGTTCGAATCCAAAAGCAATTGCTGTTTATGCCACAATATTGTGGCCGTTATTTACTTTCAATATATTGTATGTGAGAGTGTGGCATGTATATACATATGTGTATGTGTGTGTATTTGAAACTGTGTGCACTTCCTTAGTTCGCACACGCCCCTCTGATTTATGGAGCACAGTTTTTTATAGCTTGTCAAAATAAAACTTTTTCGGCGCTGCTCACAAAGACCAAAAACTTTTATTTAGTTTGCAACAATGAATTTTTTGTGATATTTATTCGATGCCCTTACAGAGACGGTGATACAATCTTATAATGAAATGCTAAGCCATTAAAGTCCACATCTAGCGAAATAGTCTCGATAAAGCTTAAACTAAGCTAGCTTGTTTAGCTCAGTGGAAATGTGTGAATATGCACAGTATATACTTCCTTATATAAATATGTACACTTCTGAGCTGGAGCACTATCCAAATCGATTTAAATTTCTGTCTATCTGTTATTTTTATAACATTTTTAAGTTTTCCAGTATTCCGTTTCTTGTAGAGCACAAGCAAATTACATCTCCTCCCAAAATTTGTCTTTAAAGTAAAAAAACTATCCTTATATTCCCTTAGTTACCCTTTTCTTGCAAATATGTAAACTGGAATACTAGCAACTGTTGCTCTGATACGACGAGAGTTAGAGTATCTCCTAGTCAGACATTTGCGCCTAGATTTCGCCTACTTGATTCACACTGCTGTTGACAGTTTTATTTATTATAAATATGCAGCAGTTAATAAAGCTTTTGTTCCGCTTACTCTTAGATTAAAAGTTTTGAAATACAATTATTGTTTCCGTGAGTCAACTAAGCGAACAATGTTGTTCATTCTGCAACTTTAGAAAGAGTTTTTTTGTTGTTTTATTTTTTTGCTCATAGTGTGTTCAACTTTAGTATGCCGTTTGCTTGTTGTCTTAATTAAAAGCCATCAACTGGCACTTGAAGAACTTACAAGCGACATAAATAATAAAAGAAATGGTTAGCTCCACACATACACAGGCACGGGCAGAGCACACACGCAAATACTATAGTGCTCACACACACACTCACGCGGACAGCTCGAGTGGCACAGCTTCTGTTGACGGGGCTGATGACGGAAGTCTAACCATGACTGACAATTTTTACGTTGGCAACAACAATTGCAGCTTTAGCTACATTATTTTCCCCTTTTTATACCCTGAACCCATTGAAAATGGGAAATCAGGGTATAATGGTTTTGTGAAAAAGTATGTAACGGGCAGAAGGAGGCGTGGCAGACCCCACAAAGTATATATATTCTTGATCAGCGCGACGAGCTGAGTCGATATAGCCCTGTCCGTCTGTCCGTCCGTCCGTCCGTCCGTCCGTCCGTCCGTATGAGTGCGTCGATCTCAGAAGTTACAAGAGCTAGAGAGCTGAAATTTGGCATGCATACTCGTGAGTACCATACGCAGTACGAGTTTGCTTTATTTTTTCGATAAATCGTCCGATAACTTTTTTATCGAGAATAATCGAAAAATTGATTTTGTTTTTTTAGCCTAATTCGAACATTTTTAGACCTGGAGTCTTTAAATTTGCGTTGTGTATAAAGTTAATCGATACAAAGATTTTGTAATTTACAGATTTTGGATACCACGCCCCCTTCGCCCCCAATTTGTAAAAAACGCATTTCAAGTACTAGAGACTTGTGCTTTGGAATGTACACACATATTCACCATATGATTACACTCTAAAAGTTTCATTAAGATCGTATGTCTACAAAAGAAATTATTCAACAAATAAATTCTCATAATATTGCCCACACTGCAGCGCAGCCCAAGCGCAGTCGCTGCTTACTGCGCAGTTAGCAGAGCGCAGGCTTATGCGTGCATGTGGATGCATGTGTATGTATGTGTGCATAAAAGTGCAGAATGATTACAATATCAGCTTAGAGGGTTCAGGGTATCTCCTAGTCGAGCAGTCTCGACTAGAGCCTTCTTACTTGTTTTTTTTTGTTGGTAGTCATCGTCACATGTGCACAAATGTTTATGTGTATGAAAAGTATTTGTAGCAAGCTCTGTCCCATCTGCTTTGCTGGCATTGACAATGCTCTAACTCCCGCTTCAGCAGCTGCGTCCAACTTCTCGTTTAGTTAGTCAGCATAATGAATTACACCGGCACACGCGTGCCTCGGCTCTTCCTGACAATCCTTTTTGCCTTCATCAGCTGCAGTCGGCAGTCAACAGTCGACGGGCGGCAACGAAAGTAACGCCCAGCACGAGCTGAAACTCCTGCCTCGATTTGTTACCAGCCACAATTTTACAATTGACGGTTTCCCTATGCGAGTCGAGCTGTGTGCTGAGAGGAGGAGGTGACTGAGGGAGAGGGGGCTAAGGACGCAACCGTAAAACGCTCGACTTGTTTTACGCATTATTTACTTAGTTGGGATGCTGCTACGCATTACGAGGGTGTGTGTGTGCGTGGCAGGGGCGTGGCAAATGAACTAGTATTAGAGTAAGTTGTGGCAAGTAGCAAAATGTTAGGCTACAATTAATTTGAAAGTCTCTGCGCAGCAGATGAAATTGGGTCCGTGTTTATGTGAGTGGGAGTTTGTCTTTGTATGTGTGTGTGTGTGTGTGTGCGTTTGAATGCTTTTGTTGATGCCACGTCTTGTGGCTGCCCCATTCCTGCTGCAAATAAATTCGCAGAAAATTGAACATTTATGCTGGCAATTTGTAGCCAGAGTAGATATAAAATTCTTGTTAATTGAAGAATTTATAAATTTTGTAGGAACCATAAAATTTGGATATACCCAAGAATTCCTTGAAATGCAGAAAGTAAAACGAAAACAATTCGATTTATAAGTCAAATTTAAGTAAATGAATCTATTTACTCATCTATTGACTATAAACAACAACAAATTTCAATTAAACATCAAGCGGAGCTAATTTGATATTAGTTTGCGCCTTTACTACATAGCCAAATTAATTTATGTTCAAGCGCACGGTACTTACTCGCTTCTTCTGGCTTAGAGTCAATTGTAGGCCCTTAGACTGCGGCCAACGCTAATATGGGATAATATGAAGTAGATGCTATCTAATGCCAAGCGACACACATATTATGCAACATTTATCCAAGATTGTATTAAATATTTAACACACAACACGATAAAACACTTTTGGCTCATTAACCTAACGCACACACACGCATACGCACACGCACACGCACGCATACGCTTATACGCACACAACGAGCCACAGAGGTTGGCCAATGAGCGGGAGGAAGACGAAGCTATGCAGCCACTAATGAAGCCAAACGTAAATGCTGTTCAGGCCCAAAAATATGTGTGCCTGATTAATGCGAAGGCTGAGCTTTCTTGCACAGAAGTTTACGCGCTTCCTGAGGGACACTCACGTCGGCACTTGTATCGGGCGGCACTGGCGAGAGCTGTCAGTGTGTGAACGAGAGCACTGGCAAAGGGAGACTGAAGCCGAAGTCCAAGCGCGCCTGTAAGTATGCAGCAGCAACAGCAAGGCGGGCGTATAACACTTGTATAACACTTGTATGCTGCTTGGGGAGAGTGTATGCCATGCTCTTTGCTTTGGAGGCTGTAGCACTAACACGACTTGACTACACCTGCCTATGTGGGAGCGAGAGAGCGATAGTGAGAGTGAGATGGGAGAGTGAGAGAGAGAAATTGGAATTTTGGTCATAACACGCACAATGACCTTAACACGAATTCGCTTTGACAAGCAGCTATTTAACACTTTTGGCACATGTGGCCAAAACCAAATCACTTTAAGCAAATTACGAATGCGCACAATCTATTTTTATTGAAAGCATTTCAGCGGCACATGCAATAGTGAATTGGGTGGGCCGAGCTCGAGCTCGAGCTCAATTTAGCACAAATTATGATTACGATTATGATTATCTACTGTTTGCTGTGGGCGTTGGGTTACATAAACACGCCATTAAATTTAAGTGCCCTGCTTCAGATTACAGATCCCAGATACCACATCTCAGATGCTAAATGCAAGACTTTTGATTCCATTCCATCCCAATTTCGAGGCGCTTTTGTTGTCCGAATTTAATTGATGCTGCTATTCAAATGTCAAACAAATTTCGCAATGCCACTCAGCGAAGACAACAACGTTGATGCCTCGAATCGTTGTGCGTCTGCACGGCCGATAGCCAATATCTAAATGGCTATAAGAAAGGCATACCAGACAAGTTTTGTGCGAAACGTAATTGAATTTTTATTGACATTGCAGCCCACTTGCCGAGTTGGGAGCGGCCCAAATGGGGCGTGTGCAAAAGAAACGGCAGCAAAATGACGCACGCGACAGCAGAGCACGAAAACAAGAAAGTTAAAGATGAAATTGGACCAAGGCTCACAAAATATTTGAGAGGCTGTATAAATTCTATTATAAATTAGTTGCTAATAAATTCAAGATTTCATTTTTTCGCCTGTGGCTTTGTGGCATTACATAACTAGCTAGATTATATTACAATATAGAAGATATACTCTCAGTACATCATCCGTATCATTCAGCTAGTGAGAGTTAATAACTCCAGTTCAGTTAGAGCTGTTCAGTGTTTTACTCCATAAATCTGAAGTGGCTCTAATTTAGGCAAATTATTTCGATGATTTATATACAAGACCCATTGAAAATTAGAGTAAATCATTAAGGTCGATAAGCCGAGTTCATTTGGCTGTGAACCTGAAAAAATATATTAGTGTGAAAGTGTTGTACTTTTAGAATATATACGACTTAAAGTATATATGACTATACATATTATTATCATTTATCATACCATATTTCTACTCTTTTCCCTATAGCTTAGAATTGTACCTTACTACTATTACTATACTACTACATACTACTTACTACATTACTACTACACTACTGCTACTATATATCATAGCTTCACACTTCAATTGTATTGGGTTACGCAGAAAGCAGAAGATTGTGTGCATGTGTATATGTATATGTTTTTAAATTAAATAAAGAGCTGAGTCGATATGGCCATGCCCTGTCTGTCTGTCTGTCTGCATTTCCCAATTCCGATTTTACATAGTTCAGTTGTTGATTGGATAACAAGCCAAGAAGATATGGAAGCAATGCAAATAGAAATTTGTTTGCTGGTATATATATGTATATATACATATGTATATATATACATGGATGGAATAATACAAGTGTGCTTAATGTTAGCTTATTACAGTTTCAGCCATATATATACATTTGAGTGATAAAGTGTGAGGAAATGAGGTGAAGAGGGAAACCTTATAAAATAGTGTTGGGCTAATTTAACTAGCGTTTCCCATATATGTATTTGAATTTGCTAAAAACCAATTTGTTTTTTTATTTACTTGCATATAATATCAGAGCATGCATTTCGACTTCATTTCTTGTGTGTGTGTGTGACTTTTCACGGCCTGATACCAATTAGTGGGGGCCACTGGTCAGAGCTTACTCTATGCGCCAGACAATGTGCCACTAACGGCATTTAATGTGGCACGCTATGCTAATTACATGCAAGTTTCCCGATAGCCGTACGCTCGGCTGGCAACTGTTTATCTCTTATCGCGCTGTGCGCTTGTTGCATGCGCGTCCATTTAATTATTTTATATGGCACATTAAAATAAACAAGGCAAGTGCATAAACAAAACAAGTAAGAAAGCTCTAGTCGAGACTGCTCGACTACGAGATCCCCTGAACCCTTGGAGCAATAGATATTTCAATACTTTTTCGCGACTTTCAGCTTACACAAGAAACACGCACACACACACACACACGCTCGTACGCACGCACGCACACACAGGCATACATACACACACATACATACACACATACACACACACACACACACACATACACAAACAATTACATACATATACACACACAAGCATAAACACGCATGGGCGGCAGTGAGCGCTTACTATGAGAACTTAATTGCTTAATAACTTTTTTGTGGACGTACGATCTTCATGAAACTTTCAGATTATGATTATGACATGGATATGCATGTAATTGCCAAAGCACAAGTTTCTAGTATTTGAAATACGCTTTTTACAAAAGTGAGGGTGAGGGGGTGAATTTAAGGGTGGGGGGTAAATTTTAACGAAAACCGAAATTGTATAAATTGCATATAAACATACATTAAAAATTTGGAGACTCTAGCAATAAAGGTGTAGAAGATATAATTTTATAACTGGTTTTCGATAAGGTTTTTTATCGATAAAAAAAGATCGGGATGAGTTATCGATTTTTAATGATAAACTTGATATGCGCGCTGTAATTACGAACATTTAAAAAAAAAATTTGAAGTCTCTAGCTCTTATATCTTCTGAAATCGACGCGTTCATACATACGGACAGACGGACAGACGGACAGACGGACGGACGGACAGACGGACAGACGGACAGACAGACGGACAGGGCCAAATCAACTCAGCTCGTCGCCCTGATCAAGAATATATATACTTTGTGGGGTCTGCCACGCCTCCTTCTGCCTGTTACATACATTTCAACAAAACCATTATACCCTGATTTCCCATTGAAAATGGGTTCAGGGTATAAAAAAACTTGAGCTCAGTCTGTGCCAAGTGCCCGGAGCTGAATAGATACGTGCCGGCCAGGGCCACACATGGCAGGGCTCTGCGTCTGCCGCTGCGACTGGGGCTGGCTGCGTGCACCATTACTGTTATTATTATAGTGTTATTATTTTTATTGCTGTGCCGCATGTTGCGCAACTCCTAAGCAATTACTTAAAGCAGCTCCTAGCCAACCCCCCGATCCGTCCACTCACCGCTTCTGGCCGACATTTGCATGCTGCACCAGCTGATGCCTGCTGTGGCCGCGCGTAAATCAGAGCCAGCACTCATACGCCGCGTGTGACCAAGCGTTGTTTTCGCACCTGAATGGCTGCAGAGCGCGGCCTGGCCGCCACTCATTATTTAGTTGTAATTAACAAGTCAAATGAGTTGTTTTTCTCGTATTCACTCAAGAAGTATATTCAATTGCAATGCTAAGGCGTATGCCCCGACATATTACCGATGGCCAGACGTATGAGGCAGGTCAACTCCGGATAATCAGCACCATTATCTTGGAGCTCAGGGTAGTCATTAGGGGTTCGTTCCTGCTTAATGTCTATATCTGGTCTCTTTCGTTTGAAGGGCCACTTAAACAGGGTGCTCTCAATGCCGTTCATCATATACACTTGCTCCAGCTTTCTGCGTATGGCCTGCACCACAAACAACTTCTGCTGGCAGCTATAGCCAGCAACGCTGCCCTTGATTTTCAGCACATCGTCGATTTTCTTATAGGGCGACGGTACATATACATATGGATTATCCGATATAATGTTCGCCAGACCCTGCAGACGGCGCTGCACCAAGTCTATCTTCCACAACGTGTGCTCGAAGTAAGCCCTCTGACTGCCAAACCTCGCCAGGCACTCCACAACCACGGTCAGATTTGCGTTATCCATGTGCAGTCGATCAATGCACTCTCTGACCTTTATGTATTTTAATATTTCACTTTCGCTGCCTAATAGCTCTCCAGTGAATGCAGTCACTGTCAAAAGCAGAAAAACGGAAACCAGCGACTGCATCTTTAAGTCGGCAAAGCACAACGCTAACTGAATGAATAAACTGTTTTCTATGCAAAGGTGGGCTTAATTGCAATAGTTCTGGCCATATTTTATGACCTTAACAAATTATGTAATCACAAACATTACAAAAACTAAATAATAAATAAAACGAATAATAAATAAAAAATAAAAATAAATAAATAAATAAAAATCATTTGCAGTTATTATTAATATAAAGAAAATGTTGAAATAGTTATTTCCAGTATTTTTATGGAAATAAATATTAAATATTAAATATTGTCTTAAGATATGTATAGTGCAAATGTATTTAGGTATGTGAAAGCCGTCGAAATATTAATCAGAGGAAAATAAACATAGTTTCATATCGTCAACATTATATTATTGCCTGAGTTTATCTTGAAGAGCTTATTACCATCATAAGGAGTAAATTGTGTATTGCTCACAAGCCTATTAAATTCTTGGAATTTATTTTAAGCGCTATCTCGGCACAGACTTTAAGCTGAATTGTTTTTCTACAACCGGCCAGATGTGGGAGCTCTATGAATGGCTTCATTAGTTGATTTTCCAATAGGAGTCTCACCGAAATTGAAATTCTCGCCAAAGGCTTTTCCTCGAACTACCTTCAATTTGCGTTGTTATGTAAACTTGAATGCTTGAAGTTGTTTATTGTCTTCTTCTTCTTATTTATTTATTTATTTTTTTTTTTTTTTTCTGTTGCTGTCCTGTTAAATCTAAGCACTTATCTAGCCGATGGGCGTCTGTGGCGGATGATGCCGTTATAAATTATGACAGCCTACAAAAACTGAGCATATTCTTAGCCTTAAATGGAGTGGAATGGTGTCTCACATTGAATACATTACAGCTTAATAAGGCTACCCATAGCAAAGCTGCCAACTACAAACAACAACAGCATATATACTTACTTACATATATGTATGTAATATAATAGATATTACGGAAATGTCCAGCTTACGTTTTAAAAGTATTTCTGGTCGTGCCACTGCTTTGCCAGAATCTTTGCATGCTTTCGACTTGGCTGGCAACGAGTTGCCCTGGGACCCACTTTTTCTCATTTGGCGGGATAAATTTATTGTTTGCGGAAGCTGTCTTTTATAGCAACGCCCGAGTGCCACGCCCGGTAGTCTCAACTGTCCACCACCCAACGCCCATCGCCCATCGCCCATCGCCCTTCGCCCATCGCCCTTCGCCCTTCACCCATCGGCTATCGCCCGCCCGCCCCCCACCACTCACCTACCGCATTAGCTGGGAATTCGTTGACCTACGCCTGCAAATAATTTCAACTCATTGAGTTTAATGTGCCGCCAGCTGTTTCTTATTGCTGCAAAGTGGGCGTGGCAGCCGTCTCTCTAGCTATTTTTCGCACATTTGTATATCTCGCATTATGCTTAGTTATCTGGGCACGTGCTGTGGCCAATACTCATTTGATTTATAACCCACTCTGGATATTGTGAATAGTCCTCTTCAGAGCTTATTATGTTTTGTTGTTATGCAAGCTCTGCCTGTATAAAGGATATTATAACTAAGTCAAGCCATATGTAACGCACAGAAGGAGCTGTTCAAGTGAATGTTATATGAGGTTTATTGACTTAATATTCTCTATCGAAGAAACAATTTAGAAGAATAAGTAAGAAAACTCATCGCTCTTATCAAGAATATATGTTTTATGCCTGCCATACCTAATGCAACTAACTATTAACTATGCATGTTAGTTTATCTATATATGTATATGTGTATCTGTCTCTCTGTATGTATGTCTCTCTGTATACTTCACAATCTGTCTCTCTGTCTGCATGACTAACAAGATCATTTAAGTTGTCTATATATTTCATTTTCATTTCATTTCATTCATTTGGTATTCATACTTGAGTAAAACGAAGCTGGAGTGCTTGCAGAAGCAGAGAGCGTCCCCATTGGTCCCTCATTTGAGCGAGACTTAGGATTTGAGTGAAAATCGCTTTATATAAAGTGGAACAGCTGCAACATTCCTTCAGTCGACCAGTACTGGTGGGTCAAGTCAAGTGAATGCTGTGATCGTTTAAAGACTTGGAGAAAGTACTTAGAATAAATATTTAATAGAAATACTTAGAGGGAATATTTGCAAGAAATACTTGGAACAAAACTAAGACTTGGAAGAGACTAATTATATATTTTATAAGAGTATTTCACTTTCGGTGCAGCAAAGAGAGAATTTTTGTTTTCTTCCTTTTTTTTTAGCATCGTGTTACCATTTTTGTCTTTCGTGTGTTTGATGTGGGTTGTAGTTTGTTAGCCGACCACATTCTTTCAGTCCCTACTCTGTTTATTTGCCGATGGAAATAATGAGCTTATAAGTGTTAAAAATGTGGTATTTGTAAATTAAACGTGTAATAAATTTTATGTAAGCGATTTAAGCTTATGCTTTGGATTATTTGTTATTTTATGGAGGACATAGTGGAAATTTAGCGATAAGTATTATAAAATATCTCCATTTAGAATAGATGTTTTTTAGTTTTTTGAATTTATATACATATATGTAAAACAAAGTAATCATAGCTTTAATTTTGTTTAATTAAGCTAAGAGGCAGAATGACTATTGTATCGAACAAATTGCAGTATTTGATTTTCTTGTATATACATACATACATAAGTATATATATAGGGAATTTTGCTAATTTGTACTTTAATGATGTTAAATTAACAGTCGTATCTATTAAGTAATGGAAGCAATTATTATTTCACTTTATTTTAAATGCCTACGACACGAGACATAATAATCACACTCTGTGCTCTTGTATGATTAAGTTCGATTTTAAAATAAAAATGAAATAGATTAAATTAATTGTAGCTAATATAAAAGCCCAATGCAACTCTTGTAGGCAAATACTAACACAGATGCACTTTTAAATTGTAAAAGGTTTTCGTTTTCATTCAAATTTCAAGCACACACAAATAATTGAACGTAAGTAGCAAACTAATTGCTTGTGGGAATACGAAATGGCAATTGTCGCCTGCCAGGGCATTTGCATTTTCATTTAAAGTTCGGTTTTGTTTTGAATTGTAGCAAAATGCTGAGATACAGCAATTTGCACAAATAAAAGATGCAGTAGAAATGGGAGTGGAAAACTGAAAGAGATTATCAAATGAATGTCATTTAGTTAGCAAGAAATGAGCCAGCAATAAATTGCTTAAACTTAAATCAAAATACACTGAATGCAAATGGAAACAGGCGCACAGGTCGATTGAAAGAGCGAGAGAGGGAGAGAGAGAGGTAGAGAGTGAGTTTTGGAAAGTAGCCAAGTGTTTCGGGTTCAATCTCCATTTTGTGTGTGCTGCTCATTATTATGCTCAACACAATGTTGGTGAGATCTCTGCCATACGATGACGTAGGCAACGCCCGCGACCTTCACTCACGTCGTCGTTCCAGTTCTGGCAACAGCCGAGGGCCCAAAAAAGTATACTAAGCGTTTCGTCTGCTGCCTGCTATTCATGCTGCTGCAGTCCTGGGCTAGTCACTTAACCAGTCGTGCATCAGGTAGCGCCCCATTCATGCAGACAGTTATTCATCCAGTCAGTCAGTCAGCCAGTCAGGCAGTCAGCAAGTCAGGCAGTTTGTCAGTCGAACAACAACACAGACATGCTCTGAATAACTAAGCAGCTCTCCAGGCACTTCCTGTAGGTTGCAAATCATACAGAAAACACAAACTTCTCTGCTTCTCGTACTTTTGCTGTCTACTGCCACGTTTGCCATTATATATGCATTTGTATTTGCGTTTTCATTTAGCACTGATTTTATTTTAATGAGAATTACATTGCAAAGCCTTATTGGCTTTTATGTTAAAGAGGCATGAGCTATTTTTTACAGAAAATTGATTTCGTGTGAAAAGTGAAAAGGCTTTTTTAGTTTTCTGGCATTGCATTACAAATTAATTGTACAGGCTGTTTCATTGCAACTGTATTTACTGAATCATACAAAAATATTGAACTTAATTAAAATGCAAATTTAATTGTAAAATTCCTAAGGCAGCAAAGCTTTTAAACTCATTAAATTATTTCTGATGCCGAAATTTGATGAGCAGCTATTTAAACCTGATTACAATATTTCTATACATAAGAGCTCAGTATCAAATTTTATTAAATATTTGAAAATGAAATTTGATAAGTAAACGGTTGTATTCATTTTCTTACCTTCTCTTCGCATTCCAATATCCGTTTTACCCTTTTTCATTAAAACGTGCATAGACTAAGGCGTTCATTCGCTTGTGAACTCAAAATGAATTAAAAATCGAAGCTCTATCGTTTTATCTCCCTCTTTTTTAATTGCTTGTAACAACTATGGATTACAGGCAAAAAGGATGTTTGATAATCTTTGACAACGATTTTTAATTGATTTTGCAAAATTCAACAATTTCTCGTCATACTACAGACAAAATCAGATGTTTGGAGCTACTTTAGACTTAGTGAAGTATTTGAAATTATATATTATTAAATATTAATATTATTATTATTATATAATTTATTTGCTATTAATACAATAACTTTAACCCTTCATAACTATTTATGTACATATTTCAAATCTAAAATGGCTTTTCAAATGTGCTAATTAGCATGTTGTCAATGATAAGTAGTTTTTCTTAGCTTGAGTTGAGCTTAGTTCAATCTGCAGACGTTAACTACTTATTGCTGCTGGTTGGGAATCCGCATCCGCAGCAAAGCGACAGCCCGGCAATTGAGTCAAGGCCTTTGCACATACAAATTGAGTTGCATAATTTGTGTCGAGGTACGTTAGACTGGGTCCATTCAAATGCGAATTGAATGCACACAATGCTCACCAACAGACGTCATACCCAGACGTCATACCCAGACATATGGGCCCATTGCCATCCTCTCGACTGAGAAAATGGGGCCAAAGGGGACCCAAGGACGTAATGCATGCATCTGAATGCTTAAGTACAATTTTCCTTTGATAATAACTAACTATTATTTGTATCAGCACTTCAGCCTAATTTAAGTTAAACT